AATCCTCTAGTTGAACACCTCTACTCCCTTCTGTGGGCTAAGGGTTAGTCTTCCATACATGCTCCTGAGAAAGTAACTCATTCACAGATCTACCTAGCCCTGGGTAAGGCCACCAAATGGTTCAAGGAATTCCATAGATGTACATAGAGGATGAGCACGAACAAGCAGCATGTCCTCTTCTGCCCAAGTCACACTGAATACTTGTTTACAGCACCATGCTCTAATATTAGTAATACAGTGATATTTTCATACCAATGGTGGTATGTAGCCACATATTTGATGCCCAAAGTGAAAAGGCTTGGAATGACTCAACCTCTTGCTCTCCTCTGCTACTTGATTAATAAAAATTATTTATTACACAAATCCTTTCTACTGACAAGTTAAAATGGAGCCTCATCTTTCATATCTCCCTGAAGATTGCCACCTTACGAGATTGAAAATATTCATTAAATTCCTTGGGCTGACAGGCCCAAATGAGAGGGCGATTGTTCTTAAGCCTGCGAATGGAATCATTGGCAAAGTCATTTGTTTGGATATCATTAACAGAACAATTGGAGAACATCTCCAGGGGGTCCTCATGACCTTTGCTCAGCAACTCTTCATCATCTATCAAGAATTATCAGCACCTAATATGCATGCCGAGACCAATTTTAAGGTGAGGTGTTAATTAACTAACGATCCCAGTTAAATTTCTGTTAGAGGACAGAAAACACCTCATGCTGTATTATAAACAACTGTTAAGCCATCCTGGGTTCTTTCCATAGCAGTACATGTTTTACTGTGTACAGGTCAATATTGTAGGATTCCCAGTCAATCTGCTAGTTAAATTTATTTTTTTAGATGTGGTAACATAGACTTGCTTGAGCTGGGAGCCACTGGTATACTTGAAAGGATTCTTCAAGAGCAATTAGGTTTTCATCTTATATTTATCCTTTCTTGGAGTTCCTAATTGGTGGCACAGAAAAGTATTCATGCAGTCCTTCCTAAAGCCTACTCTTATTGATTTACAAAATGAAACCGTCAAGATATATTAAAACACATACATTAAGAAATGACAAATAAGTAAGCTTGATTTGTTTCTGATGCCCAGGCCAAAGAAGGGACTTCTGTTTTAGTGCATTCCAGCAGGACGTACCACTAGGGCTGACACTTACTTTTCCTGGGTCTCTGGAATAGGAGCCATTCCAGAGTGGCTGCCATGTTATATTTCCTAGAAAGCAGTGCTACTAGATAAGTTCATCTAGTTGGAGGGATTGAGTGACTGGCAAGTACAATGGTGCCAGGGGAGCAAGCGATGGTGGACACCAGTGGTTAGGAAGGGGGCTCATTGGTAGCCTTAAGCTAAAGGCCTACTCAGGCCTGGTACTGGCCATGTTATCAACTATCAGGAGAACCTGACAGACATGCCACAAAATGATCTAGGTCGAAACTCCACAGCAGTGTCAGAAGGTAGATTAGGTGGGCTTTTAAAAAACGCACAGGACTTCAAAGGAGTCAAGGAGGCTTACTAGTATTTCGTGCTATAGCCCCATGATGGGGAACTTTGAGCCCTCCAGATGTTTCTGGACCATTCCAGCTGGGGCAAATGGGAGTTGGGAGTCCAACAACATTGAGAGGTCCAAAGGTTTCCCACACTGCTCCTGGTGAAACAACTGTATTTGAGCTCTTAATAGTTACCTGCAAGTCCTGACTACTTCAGCCTTAGCCTGAATGAGATTGACCCTATTGCTTCAGCTCTGTGTTGACTTTAGTTACTACTCAGACCAAGAAGCCTGCCAAATCTGCCAATTGGTTGGGCCAGTTCTGAAGAGTGACTCTTTCTGTGAGCTCCTGGTACTACTGGTGCAATGGTGAGCAGGGAGCATAAACAACTGTTCTGCCACTTGAAGTGTTTGATTTTGTTTTAGAGAGCTGTCCAAGAGATTGAAAAAATTCTGGGAGTTACAGAGCAAAACAAGTTAAAATTTGAAGAGGAAGAGGACTTGAAAGCACAAGCTTCCACAAAATAGTTAGTAGACATTAAAAGTAATCTTTCTTCATCCTTATTCTCATGTCTCTGGGGAAAATAAGTTATTCATTTTCAAATAGCCCTTTTCAGTCACTTTATGCTCACAAGCTCTGCCGGAGTGTGACTGTCTGTTGACCTTCCAACCATGTTGCTTGGCTCATGGCAACCCTATCCTCCTCTTCCTGGGCCACAACAGTCAAAGTTTAATTTCTCAGATTTGGGTTGTTTCTGGTTTTTTAAAATTATGTTTTGTGAAATATGTCATGGGGAGCGGTGACATCCCAAATACAACCTGTGGAAGAAGACACATTTGGTTTAATTCTACACTATATTTGCTCTCAAATTTAACAAAACAGTCTCTCATAATTCAACTACTTTAGAAACAAATAGTAAAATGTTTGTATACAATAAGTCTCTCCCTGTGATTATCTTTAGGGTAGGATGGCACTGAATGCAGGAAAAAGTTTTTTTTAAAGAAACCTTAAATTGTTTTTTAGTTATAATTTATTTCTTCTTGTAGGTTAAGCTCACTGAACATCTTGAATTATCCGCCTGGTTTCCAGTGCTAAAGTACCCTACACTGCAATAAACACTCCACCTACAACTGTGTTTTGGATTGTTGAAAAATACGTGTAGCAGAACATAGACCAGTGTCAATAGTGAATCCTGACTCACAGAATTTGTTTTCACTGAAAATTTTGTATCAGATGCTATTACCTCTATATGGCTTAGAGGAGTATTGATTTCTACTTCCAATAAAAGTAAGTGTATTTATTTTTGAAAATATTTTTGGCATTTTTGCTTCCTGGGGGGGGGATCCTATAATTTCCCAAGCTTATTCCATATGAAAGCTTTCCTAACAGAATACATGATTTCTTGGACATTCCTTTTCCTGAATAACTAGAGTACATTTGTATGGCAGCAAAGTCCATAGATGGGGCACTCCTCCTCTACCAGATCCCATATAGGTATAGTGTGCTCATATTCCACTTCACAAGTCCTTCTGGGTTTCAGCTCTGGCATTGGGGGTTGGGGGAAGGTTTTGGAGCTGAGTCCTGGTAATATTATTTGTATCACTTTCATTCATAAAACATATAAAATTTACTAAGTGCCATACACAGATTAAAAATAGGTCAGTCCCATACCCAGAGGCTTACAATCTAAACACAACAGGCAAAAACAGACTGAATGGGAGCATCAGAAGAACCTTACTTGCAGTTGGCTGACATCAAATGGGACCCATGTAGTCCACTCTTCTGTTTTCACAGTGGCAAGACAGATACTTCAATGAGAAGCCTTCAAACAGTGCATTTATGCATTTATTTCATTTATATACCACTTTGGTTTACAATTTAAAATATCGAAATAAACAAATGCTACAAAAATATTCTCAGGCCGACTTCAGGAATGCAGGAACACTCATCCAAAGGCAACCTGGAGGTACTATAAAATCATCATGTCCTTTATCCATTGACAACCTGATCCTCTTCTCTGTGAATTTGTCATAGGTGGAAATAAGCAAACTTGAGCATGAGTTCTTAAAAGATACAAAATGCTGAAAAGGACCAGCTAGTAGGGAAACAGAGCCAGGAGGGGAAGGGTGAAAGAGCAGGTGGTCTCTTTAAGGTGCAACAGCCCCTGGCCTAGTCCTGCTGTCACCTTTTTTTGATAATGACTTGAGAGACAAGAGCATCACCCCCACCCAAACAGGTGACTTTTCAAAGTCCCATTGTGCAGCTATACAGTGGTACCTCGGGTTACAGATGTTTCAGGTTACAGACGCTTCAGGTTACAGACTCCGCTAACCCAGAAATAGCACCTTGGGTTAAGAACTTTGCTTCAGGATGAGAACAGAAATTGCGCGGCCACGGCACAGCGGCAGCAGGAGGCCCCATTAGCTAAAGTGGTAGCTAAAGGTTAAGAACAGTTTCAGGTTAAGAACGGACCTCCAGAACGAATTAAGTACTTAACCCGAGGTACCACTGTACTCCAAAACAGTAGCTTCAAAACTATTAGTACATCCATGTTCTTAGTGTCACATACACACACTTATTTTCTCTTCTATTGTAATTTCATTTCAGGCAAAGTCCTGGGGATACAAGATACTGGCTGCCCATGAAATGCAATGGCACCCAAAGGGCTGCTCTAGAGACATACACATGCCCCCCAAAAACCCCTAGCACCAGTATCCAGGTCTATTGTCTTGCCTACAACCCCCACCCCCATTGTTTCTGCTAATCAAGAAATATATTAAAGCTCTCCCTGCTCTATTAATTATCCAAAGGTAAAGTTGAGTCAAAATGTGTTACTGACGATGATTAATAATTAGTGGCTTGTAAGTGCATTCTAGTACATAAACAGGGTACGTGGTCGCGTAGTAATTGATTAATTAGCACAATCTTGCTCTACAGCTCACTGGTCTAAGATTGCTGAGTTTGAAATATTGTTTATAATTATCCAAATTTGAAGGATGAGGGGTGGGTGGGGGCGGGAGGGGGAAGAGAGGTGGCTCCCATTTCTTCGCTCGCTCTTCTGCGCAATTATTCTCCTCACATCACAGACGATGCTTAATGGTTCAGAGCCACGAGTTTCCCTCAGATAAATCACCACAGAGTTCATTTGTTTGTTTGTTCGAATTGCAGCAGCTTTCTAGTCCAAACACTCCGGTGGAAAGAACACTTTTTATTTAAGTCGTGTGTACTAGTTGTGTTAGAAAAGGGTGCTTGAGGCTGAGGACCATATTATTGCTGTTGGTTATTAGTGTTATGTTGACATGCGAGGCGCGCGAGCTCGGCCTCTCTCAGCGGAAAAGATCCTCGCAGACAGCTAGGCGCGCGCCCGCTTCCCGGCCTCGCGCGTCGCCCGGTCAGGAGCGCGCGAGGAGTCTGACAAATTCAGTAGGCCGGCTCTGGCGCAGGCGCAGAGCGGTTGTCGGGAAGCTACCGGCGCAGGCGCAGAGCGTGCCGGGGAGCCCCAGGAAGGGGGGGGGGAGAAGGGCCGGTGCTGTTTCCCGGGATGGTGGGGGGAGGAGGGGCGTTGCTTCGTGTCTTTCCAGGTTAGGGAAGGTCGTTGCGAGGGGCAAGTAAGTGAAGCAGGAACCTCGCCCCCTTCATCGGGGGCAACTAACGATCCTGAAGGGGCAGCAGATCCTGAAGAAAAGTCTCCCTCAGCAACGTGGGGGGAGTGAACAATTGAGGAGGGAGAGGCATGTATAGAAGTTACCTGGGAAAGGTGTCAGCAAGTAGTTTGAGGTGGGGGGTCTGAAGGAAAAAAATTGGCTGCCCCCCAAAAAAAAATCATTGGAGGGGACCATATTTGTAGGAGACACAGAAATCCCCCCTCCCCCCCCCAGGATATTGTGGGGTCAGAAAGCAAGACATGGGGAGGCAGGTGGGCTGGGGTGCTTTCCAGCCCTCCTTAAGTAGCCTTGCCCTGCTGAAGCAAGTGCATGAGGGGTTCCTCCAGCTGGCCCTCTTGCGCAGGGGGCGCCCTGCTAAGCCCAAAGCCTCCGAGGTGTTGAGCCAGCACCTGCTGCAGAGGGGGCTGCCCCACTGGACCTCCTACTGCGTCAAGTACAGCGCGGTGCACAATGACCAGTTTGGGCTCTCCAACTTCAACTGGGAGGTGAAAGGGACAAACTACCACATCCTGCGGACTGGCTGCTTCCCCTTCATCAAGTACCACTGTTCCCGAGCGCCCCACCAGGACCTGGCGATGCAGAACTACTTCTTCACAGCTCTCAAACTAATAAACTTTGGTGAGTGTCGTCTTTCAACGGGCTGTTCCTGTACAGAGGTGGCGCACACGGCAAGGGCTTGAGGTGCAAGGAGACCTTGAATAGAGTTAACACCTGATATAACAGGGAGATGACTTAAAACACGGAAGATACGAAAAAGTATTTTACACAGCACCTATGGAACTCAGTCCCACAGGGCCAGGGACAAAAGTGACAGGGCCAGGATTAAAAGCGCATAGGGCAACTGATGTGACTCTCACCTTTGCGCAGTACACTACAATCCAGCCGTACAAAATCCAGGTTTCTGCGTACACACACTTTTCTATCCATTCAAGTAAACAAGAGTAATTGTCACAGTTCAAGGACATGTTCCAGCTAGACAGAGATGCTCAAAGAGGGTTTGGAGCAAGGTCAGAAAGGGGTGTGGTCTGTAGATAGAGGGCATGAGATGCAGGGTCCTGAGAGTAGGATAGAGAACAAAATAGAGAGGCATCACTTGACCCTCCCAGGCCTAAGGCTCCCTACCCTGACCCTAGAATTTCTCTAAATGCATAGCAGTGTTGGCCACATCAGTGGAGAGCACTGGGAGATGATCATATTGAACATGTGCAGAAAACAGGACTACTTATTCCTGGTCCTCAGGAATGCAGCCAATACCTTTCAGAACAAAATATATTCACTAAGGATTTTGCATGTATATTGTAAAAGCACGTGCAGTGAAAGGCAGGGGGTTGCCAAATAAAGAATGGCACCAGGAAGGTGCTCAGTACATCTTTAAATGCAGATAATGGGTTACCTCAACATGCTTTATGATTTGTTTTCAAGGAACCAGCCTGGCTTTGAAGGGTGGCAAAATCATGTCATAATTCAGCCTTGCAGTTTGTTGGTGGAGGTGGGGTAGAGTCCTGCAGTACTATGTTATATGAGGTTTTACTTTTTTATTTGTTCTCCCCCCCCTTTTTTTTTATACATAGGTATCCCAACTTTATTATATGGAATTGGCTCCTGGTTCCTTGTCAGTGTCACAGAAACTGTTCACACGCATTGTGGCCCAGTCACTATTTACTTCCTCAATAAAGAAGATGAAGGTGCCATGTACTAAACTACTCATTTCAAGGACTGACACTTTCATGGTATATTGCAGCAAAAGACAGACAGAGGGGGATTGTTGTTTGCAATCTATTTGTATGTAACATGTTCAAGTTTCAAAATGTCCCTATTTTTCCTTCAGTACCCTTTTAGTTTTCTTTGAGTCTGGCAAAGTGCAGAATAGATTTTAAAAACCATGGAAAATTACTTGAAGCTACTTTTGTTTTCAAAAACTTTTGGTCTGCAAATAATAAATATAATAATGAAAATATACATTGTTGGGAATTGTCTTTCCTTATTTACTGATCATGTATCTTTTGGTGCAGTATCATACATGATATTGTTGCCCAACACTTGTAACACTATCCAAATGTGACTACTTCAGGGATAGCCTGCATGGTGCCTCTGGATTCTTTTGGACTACATTTCCCATCAGCCCCAGCCAGAAAGGCCAATGGTCAGTGATGATAGTTGTAGTTCTGCAACATCTGGAGGACTCAATGTTGGCTACCCCCATGAAGTAACTTTGATTTTTAAAACAAAAATAAAACTGATATGCAAACAAGTCCTTTGTGTAAAAGTCCAGAAAACCAGAATTATTATTTTTTCACTTTCACTTAGTAGAGTTTTGTGCATACCATTCTGGATTACTTAAGTAGGTTGTGGTGCTTAATAGAAGCTACACACAGACAGTTTGGATACAATCTGGTCCAAACTGAGCAGTTCAGTTCAACTGATTTCAGAGATGGGTTTAAGCATCTGCTTAACTCTCCTATTGAACTTTAAAAAGTAACTTGGGGTTATGCTAATGTATAGTTAATACATGCAATGGTTTTGTGCTCTCCAAACTAAATATGCACTATTTAGTGCATATTTGGGACACGGGTGGTGCTGTGGTCCAATCCACTGAGCCTCTTGGGCTTGCTGATTGTAAGGTTGGCAGTTCGAATCCATGCGATGGGGTGAGCTCCTGTTGCTTTGTCCTAGCTCCTGCCACCCTAGCAGTTCGAAAGCATACCAGTGCGAGTAGATAAATAGGTACCACTGCAGCAGGAAGGTAAACAGCATTTCCATGCACTCTGGCACTTATCACAGTGTTCTGTGTACCATAAACGGTTTACTCATGCAGGCCACATGACCCAGAAAGCTGTCTGTGGACAAATGCCAGCTTCCTCTGCCTGAAAGTGAGATGAGTGCTGCAACCCCATAGTCAGATTTGACTGGACTTAACCACCGTGGGGTCCTATTATTGCTTAATTGATGAAGAACAAAGTGTTGCACGACAGATTAAAATTTGGCTGGCAGCACTAAGACTGTATGGATAAATTTGATTTAAATTAGTTCAGCATTTTTCCCCCTCAGGAAGAGATATTTCTAGCATTGAAAATAAATATTGAAGAATTATTTTTAAAGCGTAAAGCTACAATGAAATGTATGCACAAGTATGTGTCTTAAAATGCTTACTTCAGATTTGAATTGTGAATGGCTTGGCTTCTCTTCAAAGCAACTGTAAACAAATCTGTAATCAAGGAAACACTTAACGTAGTATATTTGGTACCGAGGAATATTTCTAACACAGGTTAAATAAATAGTTTACATTGCGGAATAGCTGTTATACTATATTAAGCTTCATTAATAATAAAAGTGAGTATTAGCATTTTGCTAGATTAGCGGGAACTGATTTTTCCCAGTAATGGGCAAAATTAAATAAGTGCAACTCATAAGTTTAAAATCAAATACTGCTCATTCATTGCTCCTTATTTTGTCAATATTCTGCTGTAAAGGTTTGGTCTCAACACAAGACTGATAAAATGTTTTTTAATTACCACACTATAAATACAGTTTTTCCTTGGAGTGGCCCCTCTGCTAGCTGCAGCGTATTTGATTTCTGATAATGGAGACCGCTGACTTTGCTTACCTGTTTTTCGATAAGTGGAGGCAACATGACTCCTTGTCCATACAGTGATGGGCATCCCTCCTTGGAGAACCTCTTTGACAAAGTACTCTATTGATCCACTAGAATTCAGTGCTGCTTGCAGCATTAAACAGAGACTTGATTTCTTGCTCTGCTCTCACTGTGTAACAATTAAGCAAATGTAACATTTTCTTTTATTACATGAAAATCAATGGACCTCTTGCACTTCTGAAGTTGATCATGGTGAGGGATGAACTTGGAAGATGGCTGAGGGCAGAGTTCAAATATAATAATATCACTTGTTGGATTCATTAGGACTAGTGGGTGACCTGTTGAAGTACTTGAAGGGAACAAATGCTACTCATAAAATGTTACACTTCTTGTGTATACATGAGAGAGTGTTTGTTCATTTTTCAGGGATTATTCCTTTGGGGTGTCAACTAACTGAAGCCTGCTTCCTTTTGCTCATATGGCTGTGTAGGACAGATGATGTGTGACTATGGGATTTGGAACTCAGTGCCTCAATGTCCTTTCAACATTCACTGAAAACGTGACTTTTTTTACACAGCCTTTTAGGAATTGTTGACACAGCTGAGATGAACTGGATAGACTGGACTTCATATGTATTTCCTATTTAATTTAAATTATTGTTCTCTGCCTTATATCAAGCCAGACCATTAGTCCATCTAGCTCAATATTGTCTAAATTGATAGACTGTGGCTCTCGAAGGTTTCAGACTCTCCCAGGTTTCCCTGGATATGCCTGGGATTGAACCTGGAGCCTTCTGCATGCAAGGCAGATGCTCAGCTTCTGAGCTACCGTCCTTCGCTTAACAACTTTTTGGATGAACCTACTCCAAGAAGAGTTGGAAGCCAAGTGAGGCCCTTTAAGCCTCTGCTTCCTAACCACTGCCTCCAGGCTCCTTGTGAGAAACTTGAAAGGATCAGTGTTCTGACTTGGTGTGCTCACTGTGCCATTGGGTTGGCAATTTACTGTGAAAGGCACCTGGTTCCTCAGGGGAAGGGTCTGTGAGATTCCTGCCCTGGTGCTGTGGCATCTTGTTCAGTTAGCTCCTGCCTGCCAGCCAGCCTCAAGTTCAGGGGTCCCCTGATCAACCATATCCATCTCGGAGCCAAAAACCTGTTGGAAGGGGGGTTACTGTTTTGTTGTTTTGGTTTAATTATTTACTTGTGTTTTATTTATTGTTTTAATTCTGTGAACCGCCCTGAGATCTTTTGATGGACAGTATATAAATTTAACTTCTTCTTCTTCACCTAGTCCAACTTCCTAGCCAGTGACTGTGTATGTCCTAGTCTCTGCTGGGCTTTGTGGTCATGACACTTGTTTGTCTCACACCCCAGGAAGGGTCCACACAGGACCCACACAGGGTCATATATATATGGATATGCATGTATTTTTAACAATACATATATACCACTCAACTGTAATAAAACCTAAGCACTTTACCAAAAAATCAAAATAATATATGGTCTCCATAGGAACTGAGAAAATACAGTACAGAAATATTGATGTTAAGGGCCATTTGCACCTAGTATAAAATCAGCTTAAAAGAGTTATCTTGGTGACTAAACAATTAGCAGCTCCAGGTCAACTTTGCTAGCTGAGGAACATGGATTAGTTCAGTCAGTTGGTCCAGAGCAGTTTCCAGCTGACGGCTTCAGGCTCATGTTTCTCAAATAACCTCCCTGCCCCTCCATGTTACATGGCGAACTGCTTTTGGATTTGAGGGGAACGCCCAATACCCCTGCTGATTCTTGGCCATTCTGTACAAGTGGCCATAAATTACTCTTGGCATGCAGTTTATACCCACTTCTGAAATGTACGTGTGTGTTATATTTAAGATGACTGGAATACATAATGACCCTTAAACTTTCAGGAAATGTGATCTGCTGTATTCTCCTTTGAAACACAATAGGATTGGCCTTGTACCTCTTGCTTTAATTATCTCTTTCACTCTATACAAGGATGATGTTTAAAAGAGCTAGGGGGGTGACATTATAAAGGCCGAGAACTTTGTTGTTAAGCGCGATGAAACAAATGCCGATAACTGAAACCTTAGTCTTAACTCAGTTGATAGGTATCTGCATTTTTTCAGCATCCCCTTTTAAACAGTAATGACTAGTGGGAGCATCTTAACCTAAACAAGTGCTTAGCCTGACATCTTACCTGGGTCAATGGTCTAAGGTATCGAAGTTAAACTGTGTTACTGTAAATTAATGGAAAATGTAACTGCGCTTTGCTGAAAGATCAATGTCCAATAAAGGCCACACAATCAAATCTTGTTGCAATGATTGAGGTCCTTAATTGCCTTTCAAAGATAAGGTGGTAATCAACATAGGTTAAACTGATCTTTTTTACTAGTTCAATTACATGCTAATGGCTTGTGCCAAGGCAGAATCTTTAACTACTTATATGTATTAAATCTTATGTTAGTAATGAAAAATTACTTAAGCTGCCCAATCAATAAAGTGAGAGTCTTAATTACTATATTTCACTTTTAGACCTTTTGTGTGTTTGACAAATTTGGTCCACTAGAGATTTCCCAACAATAAGAAACATTATTAACAGAAGCTCTGTTCCGTGGAGTATTGTTTGCTAATCCAAATGGCTGGGATTTCTTGGGTGTTTTGTGTATTTGTGTTAATGTCCTGCTTGCATTAATGTCTACTAATGTCAATATGTAATGGTCTTAAGCATCTATGTTTGTATAAAGATCGATTTCTCCGATCTGATGGGAATTTATTTTAATTCCAGAACTAAACCTAGCTTTAACCTGTACATTTTAAATTAAAAGCAATGAAAAAACAAAACCGACAGAAGTCATGGAGAGTTCCTTCATTCTGGCACTTGGAAATGTGCGTACATACACCATAGACTTGGAAACCCATTTGTCTTGGTGGTGGTTTTTTTGAGCCCAATAATGTAAATGGGACCGCAGAACTTACCTGCCAGCTCAGCTGAGATATCAGCAAGTTTTGGCTCCTACTCTCCTTGAATTCATTATTTTAGCTAGTCATTGCAGGAACTTTGTAACTCAGATTCATCATGTTTGTGCTTGCTTTGCCCCTCATCCTCCTCTTCCCTTCTCCTTTTGTGTCACATCTTTCAGACTGTAATCCTTAAGGTTGGCTTTATCTTATTGATATTTGTAAGCTGCTTTGGGAGTCTTCTTTCGACTGGCATGCAGGGTTAAAATCCTTTAAATAAATAAGCCAACATGTAAACTAGTGAAGCTGTTCATTTAGATATTTAAGGATTAGTGCTAAGGTACAATAAATAAAACAATCAGCAAAAAAAGGAAAGAAATCCAGTGACTTTCACGTTTTAAAATAGTCTT